TTTAGAGAGACAAATATCCGCGAACAACGGGCATAATTTCAACCAGGTCGCGGTTGTATCGATCAAATCTTCACGCTGTCAAGTCCTCGAGCTACGCCATACACGTCGACGAACGGTTGTCGTGTTCCTTGATCTAAAAGGAGCCTTCAACTCAATTGACCGCCAATCCCTTATGAGTTCGCTCCTTCGCAAAGGAATGCCGCAGAAGTATGTGAACATACTAAGCTCACTCTGCTCACTTCTGGTAGCGTAAGAGTCTACGACGAGCTAAGTAGTTCGTTCGTAACTAGCAGCAGAACACACTAAAAGGCCTCCAAAATGTGGATATTGAATAGGTAGCCGGAGAAAAGCTGTGCGACCTAGAGTACGCTGGTGACCCCGTTTGCGTGATTGAATGTATAGAGGATGCACAAAATGCACTTGACAGACCAGCAAGTTCTGTTGCTCCTTTCGGCATGCGCTTTGCACCTTCAAAGTGCAAAGTGATGCTACAAGACTGGGTGTCGTCGAGTTCCCTTATGAAACTAGACGATCAGGAATCAGCTGAAGTTGACTGTTTCTCCTACTTGGGTAGCTGCATGACCAACGACGGTAGCGCATCAAAACGATTGCCGCCCGCATTTCCAAAACTCGAACAGCTTACGCAGGACTAAAACGCCTTTGGCGACGATGTGAGGTTTCACTGAATTCGAAAAGTCGCATATACTGCACCACTGTAAGATTGGTTCTGTTTTGCGATTATGAGACATTGAGTTTGCGGGTATAATACCTCCGTCGCCTATCAGTTTTCGACAATCGATGCTTACGTAGTTTGGCCCAGGCTGGATGGAGTCGTCGGGTGTTTGGGAGTGCATCGAACACGAACTCGCTATCGCATCGAATTGAGCTCAATAGGCTCCTTTGGTTAGGACACTTGCGAATGTCTAACGGTTGCCTACCGCACCGCGCCTTATTTACAGTGGCCGCTGCAGACTGGAAAAAGTGACGTGGAGGCCAGCATATGACGTGGAGACGAGGTATGAAGAAATACAGGACGATTTGGTGGAGTAGATGTCTCTCGTCTTCCGGGGTGGGGTCCAAAAGACTCCGTAACTGTATGGTTGGGGACACTGAAGGTCATCGCAGTAAACGGACAGCAATGGCGATCACGCTGTCACTTCTTATCGGGTCAGGATGCTTGAAAACGTGTGTGCACAGTTGAACTATGCTCTGTGTTGACCATAGAGGTTCGCTTTCTTNTTTCTTCTCCCATCTCTAAAAATAAGCCCAATCCGTATCCTCCTTAACCATTCTCACTTGCCTTGTATACATTCTGAGTTTGACAACAATCAGCAAAGTTCGTTTAACGGTATTGCGCTATACATTGATAGTGATGATGATAATGATGTATTTCTGATCTCTGGTAGGTTTCTTTCAGGATTCGGAGAATTCATATTTCTAATGGAATTTTCTTTTTTAACCAATAGTACTTATGGCGAGTCAGCATTTCTTGCGGTTCAAACATTAATTATCGCGTGGATGACAATTTCATGGGAGGTTTCTTACATTTCTGGTGTGATTTTTGCTGCGGTCTTCTCGGCATTCTCTGCAATAACTTTATCCCCGGCCACACCACTTTCTGCTCTGTACACGCTTCAGTCTCTGAACGTCCCAATTGTTGTTTCTGCAAAAGTAAGTCATATGATCTGAAACAGTTTTTGATTCCCTTTTGTAAACTCTACCTGGTCGTAGTGTAGCTTCAGTATTAGTTTTTTACTTCAATCCAAAGTGCAATATGATATCTGCTATCTGTAAAATTTAGCAACATGAACTAATCAATTGGATATGATACTTCCACTTCGGTAACATTATGCCCATTCCTTCTCTAGATTGATCGTTCTTTTATGTTCTCTAATGGACAGGCACAATTACTTTCGCGTTTTATTTCATTATTCTTTACCAAAATGAGGTAAGCCTCAGTATGATCGGGGTGGATGTCTAGGGTTGTGACTGGTCACCCCCCCCCTTACACCTCGCAAAATGCTCCCGTACGACCAAGCGTCTCAAATAGCCTCTAATGAGGAAGCCCTACTCACTGACTTCTCGTGGTGGAGGTTTTCCCACTAAAGTGAGAGGACGAAAAGCCGACATCCGGGGCAATAACTCGGCTGGTGGTGGTGGTAGTAGTTCAAAAACTGATTCCAAACCAACCAAGAGGAGGCGTACGAACCACACACCTCCCCGGTAGTGGCAGTGGTCACCTCTGAGCGAAAACCACAGAAATTAGTTTATTCAACATTGTATGTAAACTTCTCGCTGGCATCATACTCCGTCGATTGCCTGCCGCATGTGAACGGTGCACACGTGAGAACCGGGCTGGTTTCAGACCTGGTCGAGTTTGTATCGACCACATCTTCACTCTTCGCCAAACTCTGGAGCACCGATATTCTTTTTGTAGACCCACCATCTGTCTGAAAGTGGCTTTCGACTCAGTCGACCGCTCTAAACTCCGGCGCTGCCTTTATCTGAAAGGTGGGCCCGAGAAGTTAATTTCAGTATTACAATCCCTTTATACTAATAGCTAAAGCCGAGTTCACCACAGAAAGTGGTTTTCGTCAGGGTTGTCCTCTCTCCGTTTCTATTTATGTTTGTTGTAGGTTTAATTATGGAAAGAACGCTATCCTCGTGCGAGGATAGTGACATCGATTTACTCCCAGATGATAAGCTGTCTGATCTAGAGTATGCAGACAACATTGTGCTGCTAAGATCCAGGTAAGTTGCAAGCTTTTTGGACAGCTTGAATGCCAGTGTAGCGATGTTCGGTATGCGTTTTGCACCTTCAAAGTGTAAAATGTTACTTCAAGACTGGGTTGGTCCAGCACCCAGGCTCACTCTAACTGGGGAATTAATAGAGCAAATAGATAAGTTTTGTTATCTGAGCAGCTACATCTCACCCGCTGAGCGCATCACGGATGAAGTGTCAGCTCGCATACAGAAGGCTCGATTGGCATTTGCCAACTTGAGACATCTGTGGAGCCGTCGCGACATCCGGCTGTCTGTTAAGGGTGTAGTGTATGCTGCGGCGGTTTGGCCTGTGCTGCCATACGGCACAGAACTTTGGCCATTAAGAAAACAGGATAGAGATAGACTGTCGGTGTTTGAACACCACTGTCTACGCAGCACGAATCTGGTGGGGCAGCCAGATGAACAATGCTGAGGTTAGGTGCAGAGTTTCAGGTAATCGTGGTCGCCCAAGTGGTCAACCTCGGTAGACTACGCTGGTTGGGACATGTGTTACGCATATCACCATATTGGTTTCCACGGCGGGCGATGTTCGCCGAGACAGGTAGCGGGTGTAAGAAAGCCGAGGGTGGTCAGGCTAAGACGTGCCTTGAGGATATGAAAACCTTAACCAGGAGACCGGGTCACATAGATCCCGTTGGGCTCCCTGGTTGGAGACCCTTGGATCATAGTCAGCAATATGGCTATATGAATTCTCTATTTTCCGCTTGAATTTGCTTTCAGCATTCCAATCTTCATCTTGTTATTTTATCCAAATGGGCAGCCAAAAGACAGCAAACAAAACCGGTGCACGAAAGTGCATGATTAATGGTTGTAGAAGCTGAAAAAACTGAACAGATCGTAAAAATGTAAATCTTTTCCAACAAAATCTTGCAGGAGTGGATCTGTACAGGGGATGTGGGTGTTACATTTATCAGGAGGAAGAATGAACTGAACCCAGAATTGCTACTATACTGTTTATAGCGATGACTTCCTCTCGATGTGCGAGTTTAGTAAATGAACAGAAGGGCAGTTGGAACCACAGACCACAATTTCTTGTGAGCTTTTCATATGAGGCCTCTAGTAAAAATAGCGATTTCCGGGGTCCGAGATAAGTCTGACCATGGGGCATACTCTGTTCAAAACTCTGCTCTTATAAGGAGGCGTACGAATCACACACGCAACTTCCTAGTGCTGGCAGTGGTCAC